TTACATTAAATTACATACATACATACGTACATACGTACATACATACATACATACATACATACGTACATACGTACATACCTCGTACATACATACATACCTACATACATATGTACATACATACATACATACATACATACATACATACATACATACATACATACATGCATACGCATATGTATGTATGCATAGGACTATATACATAATCGTACTACTAGTTACTAGTTACTAGTAGTAACGGTAGCAGCAATGGTACGATTAATTGTAGTTGTTCTATTCAGAGAAGCAAGATTGCGAATAGCGGTATAATAAGCATAAGGAGGCGAACGTAATAAACTTAACTATAGCAACCTAGAGCAAGAGAAACTGCAACCATGAAACGATACGAAAATCATCTAAGACCAATAACAGTAACAAGAAAAACAGCAACGCCAACAACAATCACGAACAACAAGCAATGGAATTAATCTGTGTGTATATAGGACACGCATCACACACAACACAGACACCTACATGCCATCTCTGTACTAATATATACATAATTCATGTGTCTGCTTTCTTGCGAAGACATGTCAGGACTGTCAAAGTTTAGTCAGTACAGGGGTTCAAGGCAACCCTAAACCCTAAACCCAAAACCCTTAAACCCTAAAGCCCTAAACCCTAAACCCTAAACCCCAAAATCCTAAACCCTAGACCCCAAACCCTAAACCCTAAACCCTAATCCTTAAGCCCTAAACCCCTCAAGTTCAAGGGTCTACGACCTGGTGGGCCTGGAGACTCTCCGGCTCTTCGGGCTTCGACTCTCAGCGCCGATCAACGGACCACAGGAGGGACCCCTCCCCTAATCCCAAGACTCTATATAACCCTTTAGGTTGGTTGGTTTAGGGTTTAGGGTTTAGGGTTTAGGGTTTAGGGTTTAGGGTTTAGGGCTTATATACCCCTTATATAGTCTCATAAGGCCCCTATGTAACCTCAAGGGTTCCTTTAGGGGTCCCTCCTTTAGTCCCTTGCCGACCATTTTACGCCCTACCGCGTCTTGCATGCGACCCCTAGCCGGGGTTTAGGTTTGGCAATCGAGGCCCAGAAAGCCCCGGAACCCGCATCACTGCAAAAGATTGAGCTCTGAAGTCATCTAATTACGCCCAAATATGAACCCTACATCCTAAACTTCAAACCTACACCCTAAAACCTAAACCCTAACTTCTGCCCCAAACTAAAACCTGCCAAGCCACCATAACGAGCGCCTTCCCTGTCTTGTTGGGTCCAATGGCAATCGCCGGGATGTCTTTCCTGGGCTCTTAGTTTCTTGAAAAACTTCTTCATGTCATGTGGTTTCCGGACTGCAATGCTTAGCTACATAGTTGTCCACGAAATGAACCCTAAACCCGTATGTATATATAAATATAGATATGTATATACATAATTACCCTGAAAGGCAAACCCCCAAACTCTTTGCATGAGTGAAAATCTTTAACTCCCAAACCTACGCGGCTTATGAAACCTCTTGCCAGAATTCGGCAGAAAAGGGAGCTTGCCAAACGTGCCGAACCCGCAACCCCTAAACCCATTAATAACCCCAACTCCCAAACCCCTAAACTAGGAGACCCCTACACAAACCCTAAGCCCTAAACCCCGAAATCCCTAAACCCCGAGACCCCGAACCCCTAAACCCCTGTGGACCCCCAGACCCTACTTCAAGGATCATGGGACTTAGTAAGTAGGGTTATAACTAAGGTAACTATACTTATAACCCCAATTAAGGGACTTATAACCCTAAACCCTAAACCCCTAAACCCCTAAACCCCTAAACCCTAAACCCTAAACCCTAAACCCTAAACCTTACTTAGTAAGTCCCATGATCCTTTCAGTAAACACCCTGACAGCCACGTCTCAGGCGACCGGCCATGGAGAGGAACTTGGCCAAGACCTCCGGCTCTACAAAAGGAGGTTTAAAAGGAAGGCGTGGGGTTTGGGGTTCAGGGTTTAGGGTTTAGGGTTTAGGGGTTAGGGTTTAGGGTTTAGGGGAGGTGGAGTTTATTTATATTTAGGCTTTAGGAGTTAGGGCTTTGGAGTTTAAGGTTTAGGCTTTCTCTGAGACTTAAACATGGTCCTACTAGACGTAATCGGGATCTACACAGGTCTTATAGAGAGAATGTGTGTTAATGGTGGTGGGTTGTCCGGGGGTGTTCAGGGATTTTACTGGTGGGGGTTAGCACCCTGTAATGAGCTGCTGGGTTTATGCTTGAAGAGATGGTAGGTGGTTGGTACTTCGGGGTGTATGATTATAATATAGTAGCCCGAAGCCTTTGGGTAAGTCCTTCGTGGAAAGGCTGCAACTAAACTAAACTCTTTCAATACTGGCGTCAGAAGTAAGGGCGTATCGTGCTCGGTGTTTATGTTATCAACCCTTCTTAAAGGGTGAGGTGTCGGGTTGCTGGGCTTTTGATGTTGAGGGCTTAGACTGTGTTACAGCGAGAAGCATGGGGCTTAATCTTTAAGGCAATTTGGGTTTGAAGTGACATGGAGGATTCCAGAGGGCTCCATGAATCGGGTTTAGGGTTTAGGGGTTTAGGTGTTTCTTACACCCTGAACAGGGAGGCACAAAAGCCAGCGCTTTGTGTTCGTGCCAAATGCCATCTGGTGTCAGACCGCCTTGCAAGCTCTGTGTCACGGCGACTCATATCTGTTTGCAAAACGCTTAATTCCTGAACTCCAAAGCCTAAAGCCCTAAACTGTATCCTAAACCCTAAACCCTAAACCCCCAAACCTAAAACCCTAAACCCCCAAACCTAAAACCCTAAACTCTATATAAAACCGAAAACCCTACAAAGACTGGGACCCCTGACGAAAACGGCCCCCCATTTCATGTCAGCCCCATACCTGCGCCCGGTGCACGCTGGAGTAGGAGTCCGTCACCACCAACCGCAAATCCTCAGTCGACTCCCTCCCCTAAACCCTAAACCCTAAACCCTAAAGGACTCCGGGTTTTGGGGTTGAAGCCTTTCGTGTCTTAGAGATATAGGGCTTAGGGTTAGGCTTTAGGGTTTAGGGATTTGGGGTTTAAGCGTTTAGTGTCTTAAGGGATACAGGGTTTAGGGTTTAGGGTTCTTGATATACCCTTGGCTGCTAGTGCGCATTAAGATACGAACGATGGGAAATGCCGGCAAGCATGGTATATATAAGTACATAATTAGGTTACCAGGTTCCCCGTCAGGCCCTTAACAATAAGGTATGCGTTTCCTACTCGTGGTTTCCTTAATAAGTAGACATCAGTATATGAAAAAAAACAAAACGGTGCTACTGGGCAATCTAGGGGATTGTATAGAAGCCAAAAGCCCTAAACCCTGACAAAAACAGTGCATTGGGCATGTATCATGTATTGGGGCAGCTCCATCCAACAGAATCTCAAAGCCTGCGGCTCAAAGGTGCAATCCAGGGTTTAGAGCTATCAGCCTAGAACCCTAAAGCCTAAACCTGTACTAAGAGCGATCTGGGGTGTAGGGCAAAAGCCAACTTCGACTGAAACAGCTAAGGAGCAACCCTGTCGTCCTGCAGCAAGGCGCTCAGTGCCCAGGCATCGTCGATGTCGTCGCCGATGTCGGTGTCAAGAATGACGCGTAGCGGCGTTGCGCATGCAACGAGGCAGAGTGAGGCCCAAGCAGCCAGCCGCACCAGCATGATGCAACAACACACCCCTTCTCAGAAGAGCACTTGATGGCCTGCGGTTAACACCATCATCCAGCAAGATCAAGCACTAGTCGCTGCTATATAGTTAAACTTAACTCTCGCATCCTAGAATGCGTCAGCCGGCAAACCCGTATTGCCCGAACCCCTAGGTACTGCAATAAGTGTAGCCCAAAATCTGAACATTGAACCTCCAAGCAGGACATAGCCCGATAACCGAAAACTCCCACCAACACAGCTCACCCCTCCCTACAGTAACAGTCCCTAACCATTTACAAACAAGCATGCTTAAGACGGGAGTACCGCAAACTAGACTAAGCTTGAGTCCCGCGCCCTGAACGCCACCCTCATCAACCCGAAAGCGCCCCTACCTCTAAGCCTAAACACTCCAAGACCACCCC